TGTAGTAGAATTAATTAAAAACGAAGTAGTAAAGATTTCTGCAGACAACTGGAAAAACTGTGTAAATCATGTACTGAAGGTGGAAAATTCTTATAATTGTTTCATTACAAATGTTCAACCCTTAATTATAAGTTTAGGTCTAGATGATGACAATAGTGATAGTGATACAGAGTTAAATAATGAATAAATTATCAGTAGTTTTAGAATTTCGTAATTCCTATTGTGTTTCTTAATATCTTTATTATATTTTTTTTCTTTTTTTTTTATATTTCTTATCTTATATATTTTTTTTATACTTTTGAATTATAATTTTTGAAATAATACTTGTTATTGTTATTTTACCCTTACCTTAAACGAAAAATGTCCAATTATCTTAAATTATGAAAATAAATAATGTGGTTGGTTGGTATAAAGGTACCTAAATGTTTAAGCCGACCCTGATTCCATTTATTGAGCTTTGAAGAGGTTGGGGCCTATACAATAGGGTCTAATCCAGGTAGTTAATTTATTGCAGTAGGAGTCAACGGTATATTGTTGCGCGTACTATATCCGAAAGGATAATATAATATACAAAAACAAATCTACCTTACCAGGAATCGACCTGAGAATTGACAAAGAGCAATAAACCCAAAAGGTTGGTATTTATTGCCTTATTTATTTATTGTACTTGGGTATTACTTTTTGCGTTGTAAATGTATTTTTCCCACACCCCCAAAAGGTTTAGGGTGTGAAGATGAAATATAAAAGCTAAAGTTAAGTTAGTCGTTCTGTTATGTTTTAAGACGAAACATTGAAATATATTATCGTGCCTTAGAACGTATCTATCGTGTTTTAATTAAACCACTGATAACCTGAAATATTTAATACTCCGAAATAGAACTTTTCTAAGATAGATAGATACTTTACTGTTGCAGCAAAAAAAAATTCCTGTAATTTTTGTTATTGTTACAGTAATGTTTTTTGCTACCCTAGCCAAATAACTTAACTAAAAATACCGTTCGGACATTTCCGTGATTTCTTCGGGTCCAAAAATAACCGATAAAATATGTCTCGTGTTCATTTTCTTCCATTTTAGTTTAGTAGCTAACGCCGTACGGTGTGGATCGTGGATGCTGTCGAGTCAAGTCGAGTGTCGGTCGCTGGGAATCTTTTTGGAAATGGTGCCAGCGCATCCATCAAAACTAGCAGAAACAACTCTAGCGCCAAACTTTTCATTAATTGACATTATTTCAGATCAGGTAATGAAAGTTTAGGGGTTTAAATAGAGTTTGTTTATCTCCTGGTTTTGTTATGATGGACGCGCTACTACATATTTCCAAAGATTTCCAGCAAAATATTTTTGCTATTGGTGAGACAAATAACTTCCCATGGCTAATAAAACACTTGGCTAATTCAGGCAAGAAATTTTTTGTTCTGAGACAAACGCTTTCCTATTTCAGGAAGCATTTCTAATAACAACAACAAATATCTTTTCTGTCTTAGCAATCTACTTTTCAATAGCAAAAAAGGATATTTTTGAGGGTATATAACCTCTTTTCTAGGACAGCATAGTTACTTTCCTACGACAGCAAAGTAGCTTTTCTATGCCAGCAAAGTGACCTTGCAGAAACTGTGAGTAAATTCTTTATAAAGTCACTTTGCTACCGCAAATAAACGGTGCCAGTAAAGTTATCTTTTCGGCGGTAGTAAAGATCTTGGCTGTCCCCTATGTAGCCAAAATTTTTGGCTACGGCAGCAGAAAAATTAGCTGACAATGAAAAAATTTTCTCAGTGGGGGCGTTATCTCCCACTTTGGGAACCACTGATTTAGAGGAATATTTTGGTGATGCACTATAATCATAATTTTACATTTTTTATATTTTTTACTTCCTTTTAACCTGATTTATTGTGTCGTTGTTGTATTGGGATTAGGATTTTTAATTTTTTGTTTTTAGCATTTTTTATCTGTGGTTGTGCTCATTATGAATGTTGTTATTGTAATATTTTGTGATTTTAAGTACAATCTAGCTTTAAGTATTGCTTTGTCAATCAAATTCTTATGTTATTTTCTGACAATAAAGCTTATTTTGATTTGATTATTTAATCCTTTGGTGAACACAGCTTGCGAGAAAATATGGGCACAGGGACGTCTTTCATTTCTGTCAGGGCCGGCTTAAGGGGGGGGGGCGAGATAGGCGGCCGCCCAGGGCGGCACGATCCAGGGGCGGCAAATTCATACCATACAACAACAAAAATTATGAGAGAATGAAACTAACGACTTAAAAAAAATAAATAAATATAAATCGAACAGCGAACCAATTATACAGGGTGTTTGGTACATCGATAGAAAGATTTCAATGAGTGATAGTGGTCATTTGGAAGCTGTTTGGTCAAATTTACCCTCATGCAAAGTTTCGCTGTTTTTGAGATATCGCCATTTTAGATATTTTGAATCCATGTATTTCAAAACATAACTTGGACTATATATTTTTTGTATCAATCATTCGGTTTTTCTTTCCGTATTTTTTGAAAGAGTGCATATCAGGGATATCGGAAAAAAAATAGGAAAAGGTTAAAGTGGTTATTCCAAAAAACGGATAGAAACTGTTACAGGAACCATGGGCGGCTGGTGCATAAGGGCTGCAGAGCTGCAGAACCCCCAAAATTTTCATAATTACTTGACTAATTTTTTAAATATTCAATATTTTTTCAATTAAAGTAAAACCGACTAAAATTATTGAAACAGTATATTTTCGGCCGAGCATGTTAGTATAGTAAGCCTTCGATCCCCGCTGCCTGGAATATTTTTCATCTTTGAGCAAGATGGGCGCCTCCGAACGCTACAGTCGGCCAACTATGGCAAGTTAATAATACGGGTTTCGCGTACAACATAACATAGCTGGGCCACTTTCGAGTTCTGTGCTCGCCTCCGAACCTTTCCCATCGCTCCGCGCCGCACTTGGTCATGGGTTTAGATAGCGAAATTTAGGCGGAAATTGAGCTGCAGGGTTTACAGAACGTACACAAATTTTATTGTTTTTACGAGAAGACGGACAAGCGGGAAAGGGTGCTGTTGAAACTGTCGGTCATATTTGTTGTGTGCGTTGTTTTTCTAATTATCTTTTTTTGAAAAAAATACGATCGGATCTTTTTTTTTCTTTTAGTTTATTCTACGGGTCAATTAAGTTAGCCCCCCCCAAAGAAAATTTCTGGATGAAAATTATCCCATAATTTTGCTCTCATTTTGCTCCATTTTGCTCCACTAATTTCGATTTTTGCTCCATTACAGTGGAGAGACTATGTGGCCTATTAGGTGGGGGGGGGGGGGCTGATTTAACGCTAGCCCCCCCCCCCAGTGAAAATTCAGAAATTTGATCATGCTCATTTTGTTCTCCGAGTTTTGCTCCATTTTGCTCCACTATCGGCGAGTTTTGCTCCATTACCAGGAGAGACCTACAGAGCTTCCAAGAATCTCTCCCAGCCCCCCCCTGGTGAAAATTTTGAAATTTGGTCATGCTCATTTTGTTCTCCGAGTTTTGCTCCATTTTGCTCCACTATCGGCGAGTTTTGCTCCATTACCAGGAGAGACCTACAGAGCTTCCAAGAATCTCTCCCAGCCCCCCCCGGTGAAAATTTTGAAATTTGATCATGCTCATTTTGTTTTCCGAGTTTTGCTCCATTTTGCTCCACTATCGGCGAGTTTTGCTCCATTACCAGGAGAGACCTACAGGCCCCATATTCTTGACTGTCCGGGAAGGGAGTGTTCCCGGGAACGTTCCCAGGAAAGCTAGTTCACTTTCGCTCCCGGGAGCTAAAAAGTCGTATTCTTGAATACCCACAAACGCTCGCAATGTTGCCGCCTATGCGAGTGTCACTCGGACTAACCAAAACGTATTTTCAAGCAAAAAAAACGAAGAGGAAGTAATCTAACCCCAACGTTTGATGTTTATTATTGTCTATTTTTCCAAACTTTGAAAGCTGGAAGGCGTTTGGGTTTGATAATTTATTTATTTTTAATTAGGTACCCTATGAGCATCATCGCTGTGTTTTCGATAATTGTATTCCTCCTTTGGGATTTTTTATACATGAGGGAAATATTCCGCATAATTTTCCGCAGCATAAATTCCGTATTCCTGTTCCTGAACTTCATGTGGCTCATCAACTTCTGGAATACTGTGTTCAATGCATACCTTTGTAGTTTTGGTTGAAGCCGGGATTTGCATTGAAGCGGTAACATACGGAGTAACCATGTCCACTATTTCGTGGCATACATTTTTGCTCACTCCTAAAAATTTCATGCATTTCTGATCAAGGGAAAAAGAATTCTCCGACGCAGAACATCCCATCCTATTTCTTTCGCTTCCGCAGCATTTCCCATGTCTTCTTGGATTATGTTCTGTATTCAAGATAATCTCATTAAAATAATCCACAGTCATAAAAATGACACACATAAAAACGAAAAAGCCGTGAACTTGGTGAACTTGAAAGGAGAATACAAAAACACCGTCAAGTTTGAAAACAACGTCAAGTTTTGAGGTTAGAAACCCTGGCGGGAACTCGTTTTCTCTTGGGTGAGAGGATGGGAACTTCAGAATTCCCGGGAACTTTCACTTCACAGCCCCATTTTCAAGAATATGACATGTACCGTTTTGAGGTGAACCTTGCTCACTTCCCGAGCAAGTTCTCCTCCCAGAAATCAAGAATACGGCCCCAGAGCTTCCAAGAATCTCTCCCAGCCCCCCCCCGGTGAAAATTTTGAAATTTGATCATGCTCATTTTGTTCTCCGAGTTTTGCTCCATTTTGCTCCACTATCGGCGAGTTTTGCTCCATTACCAGGAGAGACCTACAGAGCTTCCAAGAATCTCTCCCAGCCCCCCCCGGTGAAAATTATAAGTACCTATTGGCACAATGTTGCTGTAAGCTTGGTATTGTTTGATTATGTGTAGAATATCAGGCTTTCGGATAATTTATATTTCATGAGTCGATGAAAGGGTTGATAGATATTAAACTTCCTTATAATTTATTCTAGGTTCTAATGGAGAACCACAGTAGAGCAAGAACTATCTTAAATTTAGCGCTTCGCTCCGAGAAAGTCGAAGGAAGTAGAAAGAGGGCCCGTAAAAATTTATTATCCCTCATTAAAGATGCCGAGGTAAAAAGATTCAGCAATAAGAAATAGTCCCTTAGTATCATATTGCATGAAAAAACCCGTTTTAAAATTCAACTTTTCTTCCAGAGTAATCCAGCTGAACATTTAGGTGTTTCAACTGATAGAAGTGAATTGTTAACTCTACAACAAGATGGAATGGACAGTGTTGAGGTATGAAGTATTAATTAACTCATAAAGTTCATTAAACCATTGTGTAACCTGTTAGATTTAATTAGTTTCAACTTCGTTTTCAGGAAAAAAATGAAGAAATAGACACTGGTTGTTTATCCAATGATTCTATGATGATTTCTTGTCAAGAAGAACCCTCTTCTGAGTGTGAAGTCCAATTTTCCATTACAGAAATGTTTCCTGAAGTTTCTCCTCGTAAGGCAGAAGTGACGAATTCGAATATTGTAGCAACTCAGTCTAATGCAGACGATATAACTATAAATACTGCTCAAGAAGACTTTCCTGCTTATGATATATCGCCAGCAGTAAGCGCAATAGAAGGATTAAACCAAATTGATACCGCTGAAACACCTATATATCATGAGATGGAACCATACAACATCACTAATGATGGTCAGTCTCCCAAAGAATCTTTAGCGCTAAACGACGATTCAAATGTATCTGAAATAGGCATTTTAGAAGAAGGCGCTGGAAAAGAGAATTTGATTCTTCCGTCAACTTCTGCTGGTAATAAAAGACCAAAACGCAGAGTTAAACAAAAGAGTGTTGCTTATTTGGACTATTTATCTGATGACGAAGTACTTTTCACTGACAATGATTCTGATGTATGGGAAGAAGAGCTAAGTTCGTCGTCCGAGGATGAGGTAAATCAAAATTTCAAAGGGAAACAAAAAAAAAATATTAACAAAGAAAAAAATAATAATAATGATGCAGAAGAAGAAGATAAGAATATAGTCGGAGAATTAGGTAAAATTACCAAGAAACCAAATAAAAGAGCACTAAAGAAAAAGGCTAAACAATCCGGCCAAGAATATGTTAAATCCGATGGAACTGTGGTACCAGCAAAACAAATAAAGCCAAATCCCTGTTCAGGTAAAAAATGTGGAAATAACTGTGAAAATATATCTGATGAGAGGAGAAAACTCATTTTTGATCATTTCTGGAACCTTTCTGTGGATCGTCGTAAAGATTGGATTGTTGCCATGTCACAAAAATCAATGGTTAAGAGAAAAAGATCTACAGAGTCTGAGAAGCGCCAGTTTACTTTCAAATACTTTATAAATGAAGGAGAAGGCAAACGATCCATCTGCCTCCAGTTTTTATGTAATACATTGGATGTTTCTCAAAAGTTTATCTATTATACTGTAAGCAACGCTTCATTTGGTTCTGCTCAAGAAGATTTACGCGGCAAAAGTATACCACCAAACAAAACGAAAGAAGGACCTATATTGCAAGTAATGAATTTTATAAAAAGTCTACCAGCTGTACCATCGCATTACAGTCGAAAGGATTCAAACCGTTTATATCTTCCACAAGAGCTTAAAAATCTATCCCATTTGTACCAGGTATACAAAAAGAATCACATTGAGCAGGGAATTGATGTAGTGGGAGAAAGGGTATTTCGAAATATCTTCAACAAAAATTTCAACATTGGGTTTCACGTGCCCAAAAAAGACAAATGTTTACAATGTATTCGGTTCGAAAGGACAGACAAGGCTGATGAGAATATGCAGAAGGCTAAACAAGATCATGAAACAGAGAAAAATCATACCTATAATCGTTTTAAAATGCATCAAAATATTCATAAAACGGATCCCACCACCTTATGCGTCAGTTTTGACTTACAAAAGGTTTTAAACACACCTCATGGCGAGAGTATGCTTCTATACTATTCGAGAAAGATTTCCGTATTTAACCTTACCTTTTATGAGAGTGGTACTCGTGATGTTTTTTGCTATTACTGGGATGAAGTCAACGGAAAACGTGGAGCAAATGAGGTTGGCACTATTTTAAACCGATATATAAACATGATTGATAAACGCGAGTCTGTTAGAAATTTGCTTTTGTATTGCGACTGCTGCCCTGGACAGAATCGCAACAAAACAATTCTATCTATGATCCATGCCACTCTACAAAATTGTAAATTTATCGAAACTATCCAGATTAATTTTCTACTCACGGGGCATACATACATGCCTGTAGATTCTGTGCATGCCATAATCGAGCGAAATACGAAACATTCCATTATTTGGGCTCCTTCTCAATGGTTCACTGTTTTTACGACGGCAAGACAAGATCCAAGGCCTTATAATGTTGAGTACCTGAGTTTCAAAGATTTTAACAAATATGACGTTTTTGGTGAGAAGTATTTTAAAGGAAACCTAACTGGCAAAATCAGTAAAATTCGTATCTGTACATTCAAAAAAAAAGACTCACATAAAATTAAAATAAAAAATTCAATGGATGATAAAGCTCCTAGTTTTGATATCGAAGTTCAAACGAGGGTAAAAGGTGTTCTTACCAGTTGCTACAAAACACCTTTAGCAATTTCCAAACAAAAATACGAAGATCTTCATAAACTATGCAAAAATAATGTTATACCACCAATTTTTCATCACGAATATGTAAATCTTCCTACGGGAACTCACCTGAAAGACACTCTTCCCGATACCGATATAGAAGACGAATTCGAGTAAATTATTTTTGATAACTTGTATTTCATGGAAATTTTATTTGAAGATGATTGTTACTTTACTCTAGAAATTACGCTCCTTAGATTTTAAGATTATTCCAAGGAATTTATTTTTTATTTTAAAGGCTTGATGGCGTGATATTATTTATAATTTGAATACAAGCTTGATGTCATTGGAGAATAAAGTTGTTATTTTTATAAGGTTTCGATTTATTTACATTACCTACCTACCTTATAGATTCACAGAAAAAAAAAAAATTAAGTTATCCACCATTACTGTTATTTAGTAGTTTGGCGGTTAAAATATTTAACCTTCGAACCTACAATCAAAACTGGGGTTTGAAACGTTTCTGCTGATAACCAATAATTAATGCCAAAATGGTTGAAGTGTTTCGTCCGAATGGTTACGTTCAATGATAGGAGGTTAAAACGTTTTGAGTGATAACCAGTGATCAATGTAAGGGTGGTTAAAACGTTTCAACTTACTGATTTGATTGAATGATTTAGTGGTTAAGACCTTTTACCACAATGTAATTTGATCGCCAAATTGCTTAAGCGACGGTAGCTTTGTCATGAATTGTACTTTTTCATGTTTTGAATTGCTAATACATGTAATAAACCCAAAGTTGCATTATACCGGTTTTAATTTAATAAAAATAGATTATAAACTAATGAAAAAAAATTTTGCATTTTTTTTACACTTTAAGTGGCCCTACTGTAAAGTTTCAAAACTGTCGCTTATAACCTTTCGCCTTTCAACCATCGATATTCATTCTGTTCTCCGAGTTTCGCTCCGTTTTGCTCCATGATCGCCGAGTTCTGCTCCATTACCTGAGCCTGAGCTGCTTTCGGGTGCCGCGCTTTGAGCAATCAGGCGCTCTGAAGCTGCTCTCATTTTCCTCGCCTCTTTTTCCTGATGCACCTGTACCTAACTGATTTTCAAGCATTTGAGTGCAAAGCGCATCGAGTATAATGGCTATGAAGAGAACGGTGGTCCCTGGTTTCACTAGCTTTGTTTGTTTATTCGCACCAACAAGGCACCAACCGACACTTTCTACACCAAACGTGTTTGTTTATCCAAGGTTTATTCCTATATTTTTTTTTGTATGGGTCTGACAGAGACAAACTGACTTTTTGGTGCACCTGGTGCAGACTGGTGTAACTTTGGTACAAATAGACAAACAGAGCCCGCAAGAAGCCCTGTTAGTTAAAACTAATTTCGATCCTTTTTTTTTTTCACGTGCTTCTAGAAAAAGACAGAAATAGTCTAAGTACGCACTGAATTTACAAATGGGAATCGCTTGCAAAAATATTTATTTATGTCATAAATAAATACCGATAATCAAGCTCGTTTGCTCGAGCGCCCATGTTCGGAGCAGTGAAATGTGTTCCGAATGATTTTATATTGACATGACAGTGCAAATCGATCAGACAAAGATGGCGCCTATTTTCAAGTGAACAATTTTGACAGACGTCGTAAATTATAGGGACAGCCTTTTATTTTTCCGAAATAGCTATTTATGGCGGTGATCTTTTTTTAACTGTCAGTAATGTACCCAGTTACTTTTGGTTACGATGGTATTTGCTGCAAATCGTTCCAAAATCAAAATTCAGCTTACTGATTTACTGGCTTGGCAAGCTTTTGAAATCCACAATGACATATGCGCATTTTCACCGATGTAATGCTGTCCTTGTCATTTGACAGCAGCAAAACAAGGATAGGTTACTCATCAAGAGAAATGCGCATAAGCAATTGGTGAATTCAAAAACTTGGCCTTCCTTCAAGAACCCTAAATCTTAATAGAATGGCTTATCTAGCTGAAAGTGTCTGCCATGTTCACGCGAAAACTCCCCACCATTTGTGTCATTTTGACGTCAATGTAGACCTCAAGACTTCAGTGACGTCACGACTAGTCGAAAAGCGAACGTACGCCTTATGCCTCATTCTCACTTGCGCGAAATTCGCTCTTCTTTTGACATTGTTTCGACAATTTGACGTTTTATGCGTGTATCAAACGTCAAATTGTCAAAGCAACGTTAAAAAAGAGAGAATTTTGCGCAAGTGAGGCTTTATGGGGAAAAGCCATCCTGTTAGTTGAGGGTTGTTGGCCTTCCTTTATCCAATTTTCTTGCTCTTTCTTTCTGTTCCAAACCGTTCCTTGTTCACTTTGGAGCAGAACGAGTTTATCTGACGGCCGTTCCCATATTACATTAGTTGTATTCCTTTCACACCTAGGAGGAGCTCCGGAACAGCTCCGGGGCGTTACGCGCTTATTCCTTTCGACAAGTGTTTGTTGCATCTTTCCCTTTGAAATCATGTTGACTAACACCGGAGCGCGGAGCGAGTAGCTCGAGTGTTCCAAACTCTTGAAAGGAATACAACTATTATGAGTATAGTCCGCCGCAAAAATATTGAAGGACCGAAGGAGTGCGACCGCGAACACACACAACTCCTACGCATTATTTGTTGTCCTTTTCTAGTCAACAGGCTATTAAGTATATCTCGATCGTTTTGGTAGGCTTGCTAGGTTCATAAAATCTGTCGCTATGAGTTCTGTCGCATTGGCTTCCTCTTCCCCTTCAGAGGTCGTCCGTCAGGATCTGTGCTGTGGACTTCAACAAAGGCGGAACACTCTTTCTCATGGAAACGCTGCTCCCCTGTTTCAAGAATAAGGACCCTAGAGGTCATTCCAAGTAATGGAAAACTCACCGATCATGGAGCAAAATGGAGCAAAACTCGGAGAACAAAATGAGCATGATCAAATTTCAAAATTTTCACCGGGGGGGGCTGGGAGAGATTCTTGGAAGCTCTGTAGGTCTCTCCTGGTAATGGAGCAAAACTCGCCGATAGTGGAGCAAAATGGAGCAAAACTCGGAGAAGAAAATGAGCATGATCAAATTTCGAAATTTCCACCGGGGGGGGCTGGGAGAGATTCTTGGAAGCTCTGTAGGTCTCTCCTGGTAATGGAGCAAAACTCGCCGATAGTGGAGCAAAATGGAGCAAAACTCGGAGAACAAAATGAGCATGATCAAATTTCAAAATTTTCACCGGGGGGGGGGGGCTGGGAGAGATTCTTGGAAGCTCTGTAGGTCTCTCCTGGTAATGGAGCAAAACTCGCCGATAGTGGAGCAAAATGGAGCAAAACACGGAGAACAAAATGAGCATGATCAAATTTCAAAATTTTCACCGGGGGGGGCTGGGAGAGATTCTTGGAAGCTCTGTAGGTCTCTCCTGGTAATGGAGCAAAACTCGCCGATAGTGGAGCAAAATGGAGCAAAACTCGGAGAACAAAATGAGCATGATCAAATTTCAAAATTTTCACCGGGGGGGCTGGGAGAGATTCTTGGAAGCTCTGTAGGTCTCTCCTGGTAATGGAGCAAAACTCGCCGATAGTGGAGCAAAATGGAGCAAAACTCGGAGAACAAAATGAGCATGATCAAATTTCAAAATTTTCACCGGGGGGGCTGGGAGAGATTCTTGGAAGCTCTGTAGGTCTCTCCTGGTAATGGAGCAAAACTCGCCGATAGTGGAGCAAAATGGAGCAAAACTCGGAGAACAAAATGAGCATGATCAAATTTCAAAATTTTCACCGGTGGGGGGGGGGGGCTGGGAGAGATTCTTGGAAGCTCTGTAGGTCTCTCCTGGTAATGGAGCAAAACTCGCCGATAGTGGAGCAAAATGGAGCAAAACTCGGAGAACAGAATGAGCATGATCAAATTTCAAACTTTTCACCGGGGGGGGCTGGGAGAGATTCTTGGAAGCTCTGTAGGTCTCTCCTGGTAATGGAGCAAAACTCGCCGATAGTGGAGCAAAATGGAGCAAAACTCGGAGAACAAAATGAGCATGATCAAATTTCAAAATTTTCACCGGGGGGGGGGGCTGGGAGAGATTCTTGGAAGCTCTGTAGGTCTCTCCTGGTAATGGAGCAAAACTCGCCGATAGTGGAGCAAAATGGAGCAAAACACGGAGAACAAAATGAGCATGATCAAATTTCAAAATTTTCACCGGGGGGGGCTGGGAGAGATTCTTGGAAGCTCTGTAGGTCTCTCCTGGTAATGGAGCAAAACTCGCCGATAGTGGAGCAAAATGGAGCAAAACTCGGAGAACAAAATGAGCATGATCAAATTTCAAAATTTTCACCGGGGGGGCTGGGAGAGATTCTTGGAAGCTCTGTAGGTCTCTCCTGGTAATGGAGCAAAACTCGCCGATAGTGGAGCAAAATGGAGCAAAACTCGGAGAACAAAATGAGCATGATCAAATTTCAAAATTTTCACCGGGGGGGCTGGGAGAGATTCTTGGAAGCTCTGTAGGTCTCTCCTGGTAATGGAGCAAAACTCGCCGATAGTGGAGCAAAATGGAGCAAAACTCGGAGAACAAAATGAGCATGATCAAATTTCAAAATTTTCACCGGTGGGGGGGGGCTGGGAGAGATTCTTGGAAGCTCTGTAGGTCTCTCCTGGTAATGGAGCAAAACTCGCCGATAGTGGAGCAAAATGGAGCAAAACTCGGAGAACAGAATGAGCATGATCAAATTTCAAACTTTTCACCGGGGGGGGCTGGGAGAGATTCTTGGAAGCTCTGTAGGTCTCTCCTGGTAGTGGAGCAAAACTCGCCGATAGTGGAGCAAAATGGAGCAAAACTCGGAGAACAAAATGAGCATGATCAAATTTCAAAATTTTCACCGGGGGGGCTGGGAGAGATTCTTGGAAGCTCTGTAGGTCTCTCCTGGTAATGGAGCAAAACTCGCCGATAGTGGAGCAAAATGGAGCAAAACTCGGAGAACAAAATGAGCACGATCAAATTTCAAAATTTTCACCGGGGGGGGCTGGGAGAGATTCTTGGAAGCTCTGTAGGTCTCTCCTGGTAATGGAGCAAAACTCGCCGATAGTGGAGCAAAATGGAGCAAAACCCGGAGAACAAAATGATCATGATCAAATTTCAAAATTTTCACCGGGGGGGCTGGGAGAGATTCTTGGAAGCTCTGTAGGTCTCTCCTGGTAATGGAGCAAAACTCGCCGATAGTGGAGCAAAATGGAGCAAAACTCGGAGAACAAAATGAGCATGATCAAATTTCAAAATTTTCACCGGGGGGGGCTGGGAGAGATTCTTGGAAGCTCTGTAGGTCTCTCCTGGTAATGGAGCAAAACTCGCCGATAGTGGAGCAAAATGGAGCAAAACTCGGAG